TCGTTTGTCGATGTCCTTCCTCCGTCTTTATTTTCTCTTTTTTCCTCTCCACACCGCTTAGCCAGTCCTCTATAATTCTCCAAGGGGTGTGCAGTTCAATATGTATTTTTTTTGCAGCATGTGTTTTGGCCGTCATCCCCGTGGGCCTTTTCGACAGACCCGCAAATCAGTGCGACCACAGCGCCACCTCTTCCCTCGGTACTTAGGTGTATGGCCTACCAGGCTTACCTAGCGGCGAAGTAGACAGTTGTCTTATTCTCTAAAACCCGGTTGGCCAGAATCAGGCCCGTTTACTGTTTAAATGATGCAAAAGTATCCCAATATGGCGGCTCTTTGCCATCAGCGATCTTCAAAATCTGTTTTTAAAAGGGGAGCATCGCAACATGCCCTTCTTTGCACAGGCTCGTACGGACAGTAAACACACTGTAAAAAAAAGTAACCAATTACTACTTTTTAGCCGACTATGTTTTGACGGCCAGCAACAAACCTTGTTGATTTCGAAAAATGCGCTCCCTCGTGAACATACAGTGGAAAATTGAATTCGAGACTGTGTACTTTTGACATGGCTTGCATTTTAAATAACGAATGGTCACTTTAAATTGTCTTGTAAGGCGTGGAGTTTGAAATACCATGCAGGCTGCTGAATAGTCATCTTTGGAATTGGTAATGAGAGATGTATTAAAAGGGTCATTTTCAGCTGTGGATCGAACCATGAAACGGCAGTTATATGAGGGTGTTTTGAGAGCAATACATTAGACCACTGATGCGGTTGCCCAGTCCTTCACCCCATAAATACAGGGTGGGGTTGGAATATGTAAAAGTATCATTGGCGAAATACAAAACGGGACAGCAGATATCAAAGTTTGGGGGCAGGTTGAGCATTTTGAAAGAAAATGGTCAAGGAAATGCCGCAAGGGTACGTTACTGAGTTTTTTGTCACAATAACTGGTCACCGATGAGGGCAATCTAGCCAGGCCTTTTCCAAATTTTCGGTTCAAGTAATGCGGGAAGCGTAGCAGCGTCACTGAACAGGAACAGACCCCCAACATAGCATCCACTGAGTATTTCGCCGCCTTATTAATTTGTTTTTATTATAACACTTGAAGCAGAAGCTGACATCCAATTCCATTATGCGTTCAGTCAGTCTTCAATTCCCCATCCAAACAACAGATTTACCAGCGCCAACTGCTGTATTTTCGTTTCTCACCGGCACTAAAATATCGCGGAGACCCAACGGACCTAATAAGCAGATGCAACGCAGTGACGCTGCAATCTACAACTTGAAGCATTATCTCATGAGTAATTAGTACTGTCAGCTGAGTAGGATATTCTTTGCTAATCCTCCTCCTCTTCCTTGGAGGAAGTCAGGCTTTCATTCAAGTAATATTGATTCACTTCCTTTTATTGTGTACATTTGGCTAAGCTGTGTTTAAGGAGTTCAGCTGTGGGGATACCACATTGAACGTTGCAATCGGATAAGTCCATCGTTATCCCATGAGGTGGGTGTAGGGGGTGACTCTCACACAAAATCGTTTGTTGGGAAGCAGATTTTCGCCGCGCCCACTTCACTGTCTGTCCACCTTCGCCATGCTCCGACTACAAACTATGAGTGCTCTAGAATGCGAAATACAACCTATCACTTAGCAGACACTACACACGTTTTCCAAGAGGGTGAAAACGTCCTTTTTGGTCAACGCTCAATTTCCGGCGCGTTTTAATCAAGCCATTAGTTTGGTTGATGAATGACATGCTCTGTTAGTTGTAGTTTAAATTCGGTCAGACAGCTTTATTTATGAAAAAAACCGAACTGTTGATAGTTTATCAAGCCTTATCTGCAACTTAAATTTATATTTTCATATTGCCGGCTTTTAATACACTTAAAATTCAGCAAGCAGCCATAAGGTCTGTGCTTTTACTCCGACTATTGATCCAAGTCTCTGGCCGGTTTTCTTTAATTTTCAAGCGAAATAACAGATGTCTTTTAGACAAGGAAAATCAATATCGATTAAAGAGAAGACGCGGTCTAGTCTCATTAACTGTCTATAATTTGCCGGCTCTTTAAGAATCAAAGGACGCCTTGACTGACAGCATCCTTCTGATACAATGGAAAAGATGCAGAAAATGTCGGAAGATCCCAGGAAAAAATACTCAAAGTGAAACTAAATAGTTTGTTTCGCGACCAACTGTAGTATTTAAAAATCTGTAAGATCTCCGATCCTCCAGAAGACCTTAGTTTTTCCCAGTTTTTTGTGGACATCAACGTTTGCAGAGTGTTAAGTTACATGAGTTAGCATACTGACAGCACAGGTACCAACTTAAAGCCCAA